AACAAATGAGAATAGGTGTATATATACATTAAATATATATCTAGGCAGGGTGCGAAATTAACGAAAGTCCGGAGTAAAATTCTCCCTGATTTGACATCTATGCAGGAGTCCGTGTGACTCCCTGAAAATTGCGCCATACCATAATTACCTCCGCGCAACGGAGTTGCAGGGGAGGTAATGCGATCGGTCATGTGTGTGTGTGTGTAGTGTTCGCGCGATCGATTCAGCAGCAGCTCGCCTTAGGGCGTCCAGTCAGCAGCAGCCAGCAGCGAGCCAGCTGTTATACACATACATGTTACACGCTCGCGGAGACGTTGTAACCGCATGAATCTTAAAAATAAGCACATGCGTTATTGTTAATATTTTAAATTTAAACCTCAGACTGCGGACTCCCTCATTTTGCTGCGGACTCCCTATTTTTAAGGGTAGAGAGTCCATTGGACTCCCGTGTTCAAAAGTTAATTTCTACCCCGGTCTAGTGTCTAGGCATTTCATAGCTTTGAATGTAGTAGCAGACTGCATAGCACTCGATGAAAAATGGCAGGTTTAATTTCAAATCTTGATGTGGGACGTGGAGCACAATGACAACTACTCTACTGAATAAAAGAATAATGACCAATGATAACAGTCATCAGGAGTAGCACCAAAACCTGGTGAATGGGGGTGTCTGTAAGCACAGTCACAGAGAACATGCTCAAGTCAAGTGCACCTGCTCGTTTTCGTGTTTTAATTGAATTTCAGTGATCATGTTTGATATCAAATGCTCGTCAAAAAACACTCGTGTGCACCCATCTGCGTTTGTTATTGCATTAGGAATTTTGATGAGCCAATGATGTGCAGAGTTCAGTGGGCATGACCCATCATCGTGACACTGCCATTACGAACATCTTGAACGAGCACTGACCTTTCATATAAGTCATCCATCATGTAATCCACAAAATGCCTGATTGCACTCAGCACTGAGTCAGCAGATGTGCAAATAGGCAGGGATATTTGACAGATACCAGCAGAGATGGCTGATAAACACTCAGTACCTTTTCAGCATAGACCTTTCCGATTCCATCAGTAGCTCCTGTTACCACTGTAAATATATAGATACAACAAAGATTAAACTACAGAACCTCTTTTATTTCATACGTATACACAGGGGTAGAAATTAACTTTGAACAAGGGAGTCAACGAACTCCCTACCCCTCAAAAGAGGAGTCCGCAGCAAAATGTGGGAGTCCGCAGTCTGAGTTCAAAATTAAAGATATTAACAATAACGCATGTGCTTATTTTAAGATTCATGCAGTTGCACGTCTGCATTTTTCTTTGGAAATTAGCTGAAAAAATACAGTAATTCCGCGAGGCCGTGCTCCGGAACGAACTAGTTAGTATGGCAGAATTTTCAGAGAGTCACACGGACTCCTGCATATGTCAAATCAGGGAGTCCGACAGTAAATCAGGGAGTATTTGACTCCGGACTCCCATTAATTTCGCACCCTGTATATACTAGTCCGAGATTCCTCTGACTAACCCACACCAAAACCACCAAAATCGTCGGTGTGGGCATTGGTCAGAGGAATCTCGGACTACCTATATACATAGCCTGCTTCATGACCATGAAGACATGAAAATTCTTAACATTGTTACATATTTCTGGTTCATTTAGAATGATTCTAGATGTGTTAACTGCATAACCATGCTCGCAGGTAGAATATATTCTTTTTTTTAACTACCTAAAACGTCAGTCATATGACCAGTTCAGATTGAAAATTTATGCAAATAAAGAACCATAACTCACAAAATACGTACAACACTTAAAGCCGCACAATGCGCATCCAAACGCTAATTTCTTCAGTACTAGACTAGCAAATACTTCGTGTCATGCATAATCATACTACCTTATGGCAAAATAAACTCTAGTTCCTCCATTTCACTGCGCGTTGTCTTATAAAAGGTATTTTGAAAAACCTCCGATGCTGTTGACAGTTCCCCAATCTCCCAAGAACCGTTGCAGCGTGC